GGACGAGGTAATAGTTGTTGTATCCAGTTGCCACATCAAAAGAAAAAGCTTTTCAGATATCAATAGCAAATCATATGATTCCTTACATGAAAGACATTCAACAGGGATGTTTTCAGAGCATGTGTAAGAGCGGGTCTTAAATGCAAGGTTCCAGTTATGCAAACAAATTTTTATTGCGTCAAACTATACTGTGGGATCCGTCATCTAATGCCTTCTCATATTTAATTCGCAAAATTCTGGTTAATTCTTTTCAAATTTTTATGAGCAACATGGCATGGTTGTTCAGATTCAATCAAGCAGTGTGGCAAGAAAAGCTTTTTTGCAAACATGCAAATTGCACGATAGATTCATAGAAAACTACAAATGTGACGTTACGTGGGGGGGTGGGTCTTCGCAGGCATCATCACGAACGGGTTAGCTGTCACGGCACAAGTTTTAGTTGATCATTCAACAGAATCACTTGAACTAACAGGGGTTGATGGTGATCCTTAGGAGGTCGGCTCCAGGCAGGAATGGTGAACCTTCTTCTCTTCTTGTGAATTTTTCTTTCTTTTCTTTCTTTACTTATTTTGTCATAACTTAACAACAAGTAGGAGCTGTCCGCACATGGGGCCGTCGGTTCAGGGGGGTTGCACGGACCACAATCATAACAATTGAAAAAGCTGGTGAGAAGTAGCAGGAACCGTTTATGGAGGGTCCTTCTTGTTCCTTCAGTCAAGGAGTTGTGTGCGGTGTTCAAAGGAAAAATATTTTATCAGTATGGCCATCACGCATAGATTTTCGATGTGCTCGATGGTAGACAAAAATCGCGTGTGTAGCTTGAGGATTGGTGTTTATGTAGTCATGGAGATAATGCGTGAGACAGAGTCAACTTAGCCGAGGCAATTCGATAGCTGGGGGGGAAAGCCTCAATCAGGTTCATCATGAGTGACTTTAAAATAATCCCACAGTTTCCTGAGCACTTTCATAAACAGAAACTTTGAAAATCACATCAATGGTATGCGAAAACATTTATTCCGAGCCTTAATCTCAAATTGGGCCCTCTTCTATTTTCCTTTTTTTTTCCTCACCAGTTGCCAATCAAAATATGATTTTTTCAGGTCTCTGGCAGTGGCTGACCAGCCATCAACAGTATCATAGGTAATAGATAAGGGCCATTGTTGTACAAACAGGGCGAATCCCAAAGATACCTCTATCAATATATCCCAGAAAAATTCTCCATTCTAGACTTCCAAAAAGCATAGGGGTTATCACAGTAAACATGGATGGTCTGTTCATGGAAGCACTCGCAGTATGGTACCTTGAGTTTGATGACGCGCCCATTTTCGAAAAGATTGTGAAAAACAAAGAAGCTAGAGTAACCATTGTTGGAACAATCGGTACCGTTATAAGAGTCGCGCAGCGGAAGTAAAATAGTCTGAAAGCGTGTGTACGTCACAAATCAAGTTTAAGTGTCCGTTGTTAGAAAAAAACAATTTTCTTAGAGAAAATTATCAAACAGTTGATATGCGTAAAAAATAAGAGTGTAGGGAAATAGAAAACACACAAGTAGATTTTTATGCCTGGTTTGAATCAAAAGATCTTCTACTTCACAGTAGTTAATCACTATAAATAAGTGATTACTCTTTTCACTAAAATGGTTTTCACAGATTACAACAAATAGGAAGGTAAAAAGCAGATAAAGAAACCTTCCTTCGACGAACTGGAACGGAGAAGAACACCTGCCAACGTCGAAGAGAAACGCCCGAATATCGACAAAACGAAACGCGAGAACGAGCTTCTCCTATTCACGAGACCAGGCAGAGCACCTTGCTAACTCGAAGAGAGCTTGCTCCGACTATCGACACACGACACACGAGCCTCTCCTGTTCACGAGACCAAGCAAGGGAACTTGAACTATAGCTTCTGAGAACTTCCTCTGACAAACAGTATTCTACAAGAGCTTCTGTTCAACAACGTTACCTTCTGATTTCTCCAAATCAAAATATATAGCCAAGTACACTAAATGCCAAAGGTCAGCTCCCAACTGCCATGAATAATCGATTATTGTAAGTGATAATCGATTATTCAAGTCCGTTACAGGTTTTCAAAAATGTGATAATCGATTATATGAAGTGATAATCGATTATTCAAGTATGGCTTGTGATAATCGATTATTGCTTAATCATAATCGATTATTGCAGGTTAAAAATGCAAGTTTTACAAGGTTTACAAGAATTTCCTACTACATTTAATTTCTACAACTTGCTTTTAACTAATTCTAATATCTTCTTCAACTAAAACTTCTTGTAGCATCATCAAAACAAATTTCTTCAAGATTTACCAATACTCTTTATTGGTAACAAGATATTTTAAAATATAAATAATAATTTTAAAATTTAAATAAAAATGCGATAGTACAATAGGGGTGGTGTTGGAAGTAACCTCTTTCATGAAATACTGACGCATTACAGTGTCAGAAAAAAAAATATTCTTCTTTAAGAACTTATATTATCTTTGCTCTTCCTATAAATACATTAACCATTGCCATTGTTCTGCATACTCTGTTCTCTCTTTTCTACGTGTAACCATGGCACTCACACGTGCCATCTTGGTGCTAGCCATTTTCTTCACTCTGGTAGCAATATCGACGTCTCAAGCTCCCTCTCCTGCACCTACATCTTTCACTCTCCCCTCGCAAATGTCCCCAACCACCTCACCAACTCCTACACCTTCCCAAAGCCCAAGCCCAAGCCCAGGCCCATCCACCACTTCATCGCCGCCTTCACCTTTTACTCTCTCTCCTATTTCACCCTCACCCACTCCATCTCCTTCATCAGCATCTGCTGATTATGTGCCTGCAAGACCCAGCAACGCGTTTCTTCGTGGAACCAGCTTCTTCATGCTACCTTCACCCATTTTCGCGGCTGCTGCAATGCTTCTTCTCTGAGCTAACACATACTCGTTCACTCAACTCTGTGTAGGCTTGAATCAATAACTGAGACATGATTTTTGTTCTGTTCTTTATAAGCTACTCTGCTATTTTATTCTGTAGATGATTCTTGGATAATAAGTTGGTATTTGCTAATTACTATATCGTACGAGTATTGTACGATTTATGATGCCACTCAAAATTTACGATTTTACCTACGAATGCCAATTCCTGACTTTTACAAATATAATTGTATTTATGTTTGCTCTACATGTTATATTCATGTCATGAAGAGATTAATAGTATGGTTTGGAAAACCTCTTTGGTGTTTTTTAATTGTTAATATTAATGATAAAATAGGTCAAATTCACGTTAATACGTACGAAGCAGCCTAAAGTTAATCTAAGATGAATTCTAATCGACATTGACAGTAATTAATAGAGTAAATTATATTCTTCAAAACACATTTAAATTGCACTATTTTTCTCGTATATATATCTAAAATTATCTACCTTTTCCTTACAATATACTAATCAACCCTATTTTTCCCATTTGATTAAACTTTGAGAGTCATTATAGTAATTAAATTTGTACACACACTATCAAATCCTGAATTTTTTTAATTAAATAATGTTCTTAGTATTGGTACTATTAGAATTTCACCCAATATCAACTTCTTCTTTTTTAATTTCTAAAGTCATTAGTATGAATCTCATATTACTTGACAACATTACTAATTACATGGGAAAAGAGAAACTCTAAAAGGCGTGTTCTCATTAGGATAGATTAATATACAATTTCGCCCAAATTGTTTTAATTTTTCCTTCTCCTTGAAAGAGAACCAGAATAAAATTTATTGAGAAAATTCTTCAAAAAAATAAGAAAAAAAAACTTTAAAAATTGATGAAGAAACTTTCGAAAAAAAAAAATACTTCTCTCTGTTTACCATGCGCTCACTCTTTGCTCCATTTTTCTTAAATAATTTCTTTTAATCTAAAAGAAAAAAAAAAGAATCAAAGAAATTTACTTTATTTTAAATGTCTTTTTATCAAACAATAAATTTGAAATAAAAAAATAGGTCAACTAGTACTTAAACTATACCACATACATCTCTTAAGAGAAACAGATGTAATTTTAATAATGTTTGTTTGAGGGTATTGTGATTTTAGAATCTAGAGAGGAGAAAACACTAACTCTTTTTTCACTTGAATGAATTTGATTGAGTGGATTTGAGAGGATTTGAAGATAAATTTTTGTTGTTGTTTATTTGAGTAAATTTGGAGGTAAGTGAGAGTGAATTTGGAAGCAACTTTTGTGAGAATTAATGAAGGATTTGATTGATTTGACATATTACAAAAAATTTACTTCCAAATTCACTTTCACTTACCTCCAAATTCACTTAAATAAACAACAACAAAATTTATTTTTAAATCCTTTCAAATCCACTCAATCAGTTTCCCTCAGATCCATTTAAATGAACAAAGCCTAAAAGAATGTGATTGTTTGTTTATTGTTTAGCACTGTGGCAAGTGTAAAGATGTAAAAATAAAAAGAGGTTCATTTTTTTATTAGTATATCAATAGGGAATTCAACTTACAATTTTTTAATTTTTTTTAAATTCATTTAACCAATATCATAACTCTTAGGGAGAGTTGAATTGATAACCCTTTTCACTCTCTTTTCTAATTTTATAACTAAGGCAATTTTATATATCTATTTTACTAGCTATTAAGAAAGAGGAACATGTTGAAGGTGACACTCTGGAACTGAACATGTGTGTGGAAGAAAGAGTTAAAAAAAGGGACATTATGCTGTGTTTGTGCTTGTGCATGTGATGGAAGAATATGAAGAGCATGGAATTGGTTGGTCTCTTCCTCAAAACAACTTTTGCAGAAAGTGATGTGCCATGAAATTACCAACAAATGCCATAGCACTAACGATTTTAACAATTGAAATGTAAATGAAAAAAACTAAAGAAAATGATGAAAATTGTTTAGAAAATTTCTTTATACGGTTGATAGCATATAAAAACCATTTTATTTCTATCACACTTAATTATAAAACTAGCATTTTATAATTAATATAGTTGTGTGTAAAGACGAACACAATAAGGGAATAAAATCCCAAGGTAGAGGTCATGAACTAGCATTTGAAGTTTTGCTAATTCTGGTATTTTGTGTTGGCCATAAAGTTACAGAATTTATTCATTTATGATAAAATTACACATGGAGAATTTTGTACCACAGAAAATAAAGCACTAGATTCCACCCCCAATGAATTAAAAATTCTGAGTACCAAACTTTAGCTTTTTATGTTACTCATAAGGGATCTATGATCAGAACTAAACAAAAACTAATTATCAGAAATTATTTTCCAATTTACTCATTAAAAAAATTACTTGTTACAGTACTAAAAACACAATCTTTTTTTAATGAAGTAATAATTTATGCATGGATTGTTCTTCTGGCTCTACACTTTTTCACTGCCATTATCTTCTGTTGAAATTGGAAAAGTACCTGTTACCACAAACAAGTTA